CTATCATCGGCGACCTTGACTTATCGTTCAAAGAGAATGCGACTGTGGATAGTGGAGGAAAATTCAAGGTCTGGAATTCCACGACTAAGACCAGCTCCAAGAGGATCCTTGGGGAAAGTAATTGCTACCAGGAACAGGACTGGTGTGCTGTGGAGGAGGAGCCACCAAAGGCTATCAGAGCATTATCGTTCTCCTCCGAGAGAAACAGTGCTGATAGCAGCGACGAGAGCTTGTCGTCGCTGTCGACGTCTCCTCCAAGCCCAACTTCGCGGTTTACTCTCTCTCCACCCATGTCGCCGAATGGATCGGAGAGCTCGAGTGGTTCTGTGGAAGGTGGCCATAGGTATGATCCGAAGGTGAACTTGCGGACTCCCCGACCGAAGTTTTTGAGGTACCGCCCGGACTGGCGTCTCGAGTTTCTCAGCAGTCTCGAGCTTAAAGAAGGTGAGACTCTGGAGAGTGCCATCGAGTCTCTCAATTCTCGAGAACAAAACGCAGCGGGTGATGCAAGTGTTTTGTCCGCGGACAACGAAGAAGAGGATTGTCTCAGCAACGAAAAGCGTTCGTTTCACGTCGACGATGTTGCTACCGAGGTTCTGAGCTCTACAGAACAGCAGCAAAGTTTGAGCGACCATTTCCAGGATGGAAAGCTAGGCGATGATCAGTCACCGAGGGCCATAGAAGGGAAGGAAGATGGTGAAATGGCAGCGACTAAACAGGAGGAAGCGCCATTATTCTGCACGACTTTGAGAGCAGCGTCATTCATGCTGCTGCTGGGAAGTTTTGTAGCAATCGGTATAACGTTGATGATAGCGGATACAGACATCGCGAGCGAAAGCAGTGTCTCCACCTTGAGGCAGAAGTTCACTTGGACTAAGCATCTTGAAGACACGGTGACAAGAGACTTCGCTGACTTCGACGACTGGGAATGGTCTCCTGACTACGATGTGAGCGAGAGCTTTCGCAATCAGAGCACAGGTCTCAGTCTATTCTCGACGGATTCCTTGGAGCTGGATGCGCTGCTCATGGCGATCATGTACGGGTCCGAGCGAGACGTCCAGCAGAGATACTTGGAGCTGATGGAACACGAAGACGTCGAGTTTTATCATGACGTGGGAAGCATCTTGGCCGGCGGGTCTTTGGAGTTCACAAAGGCCGAAGAAGAAGCAGAAAAAGAACCGTCAGGAGTTCAAGGAGAGCAATCAAGTGACGACGACGTTGATGTACGTGATCATACAGAAGTTCACAGCGGCGAGAGCTTGTCCAGTGTTGGTGACGAGCTTCCGGAGCTCGAGAACGTCGACGACTTACAGATGTATTTTCCTCGCTTGCTGGCCAAAGGCGAGCTCCTACCGCGGTCGACGACGCCAGCTTCCCAGCTCTCCTTGGTAGTGGCGATCGTCCTCGTGGTTGCTCACGTCTTCTTCCGTGTATATTGCCATCGATCGCGCACCGGCAGCATTTCTAGAACACAGCCACTGCTGGCGCGAAGTCCGCGTCCAACAGCAGCGACTCCTCCCACGAAGGCGTTGATCGATGATATCCTCCCCTCGGAGAAAGGCTCCTCCGCGTACGGTAGCTTCACGGCTTACAAGCGCATCGTCGTCAACGAGGTATGCTCCCTTTTCTTTTCGAGCTCAAGATGGACTTTTCTTTATCCAGGGATCAAACAAGGAGCTCGTTACGCTCACTCCAGTTCGACGCTCCAGCCGCATTCGAGACCAGCGGAGCTTAAAGTCGAGGTCTCCTTGTCTTGTGAGGCGAATCCTCTTGTCACCGGCTTAGCTCAAACAAGAGATCAAAGGTATGTATCAGTTTACTTCTCTTCTCTTGTGTATAAATACCGTTTCCATCCAGTCTTAAGAATCTATCGCGCACCTGTTGACAAAAAAAACAAAGCGTGGGATTTGTTTGGTGAGGAAGTCCAAATCCAACAACTTGCAAAGGCATTTGACAACGTGTGTGAGGCTTTTGACCCAAAGATATTGATGTTGCATATTCGATCCCCATATTCTCGGGGGACGATGATACGATCCCTTGCATTATATGGTATCTTTAGAGTCATTGTTCGTCAATTCGATTAGAAAACCATGGTTGCCCGATACCCAATCAGTGTAAGAAATTCGAGTTTCTTGTGCTGCTGCGCCACGTGGATTAAAACTGAGTTCCCCCCATGCAAACTTGCTTTCCTTTAGGCGATCATGGTATACGGTTTCGGCGACTTCTTTTTCTCGATCCCCATCGCATTTCCGGAAGAGGCCCATTTGACGCTCTTGGATGAACTCGTCCGCAGATGTGGTTTGCGATGTTTGACACGGTTTGCTCCTTGTCTTCCTCGGACATGCGTCCGGGGCTGCTTGTAATCGTCCTGTTTTTTCTTTCTTGGAGAACCGGCCAACTTCATGGCTGCGTAATGAAAATCCTTCTGGGAGAGAAAACAAAAGCTTTGTTTCTCATTGGAGCTGGTTTAGGGTTTAGGGTTTAGAGGCAAAAGATGGCAGGCTCCACCATTAAGCACAACAAGAGAGAGGCAAAAGAAGAAGGCACGAGAAGAGAGGCAAAAGCAATCCATTCTTTCTGCTCTAGCCCTGACTTTGCCTTCACAGCTATCATCGGCGGGCTTGACTTATCGTTCAAAGAGAATGTGGCTGTGGATAGTGGAGGAAAATTCAAGGTCTGGAATTCCTTGACTACGACCAGCAGCTCTAAGACGATCCTTCGGGAAAACCAGGAACAGGACTGGCGTGCTGTAGACCAGGAACCACCAAGAGCATTATCGCTCTCTACAGTGCTGATAGCAGCAGCGACGAGAGCTTGTCGTCGCTGTCGATGTCTCCGCCAAGCCCAACTTTGCGGTTTACACTTTCTCCGCCGAGAGCCATGGATTGGAGAGCTCGAATGAACAGGTATGATCCGAAGGTGAACTGGCGGACTCCCAGGCCGAAGTTTTGACTGGCGTCTGGAGTTTCTCAGCAGTCTCGAGCTTAAAGAAGGTGAGACTCTGGAATGTCCCATCGAGTCTCTCAAGTCTCGAGGAGAAAACGCAACGGGTGATGGAAGTGTTTTGCCGAAGAAGAGTGTCTCAGCAACGAAGAGCGTTTGTTTCACGTCGAAGATGTTGCTACCGAGGTTCTTACCGAAGGATGTACGAGCCACTGAAGAACCACAGGAAAGTTTGGACGACCATTTCCAGGAAAAGCTAGGTGCTGATCGATCAACCAGACGATAGAAGGGAAGGAAAATGGTGAAGTGGTAGTGACTGAACAGGAGGAAGCGCCATTCGGCACGACTTTGAGAGCAGCATCATTCATGCTGAAGTTCATGTAGCAATCGATATAACGGATACAGACATCGCGAGCGAAAGCAGTGTCTCCACCTTAAGGCAGAAGTTCACTCGGACTAAGCATCTTGGTGACAAGAGACTTTGCTGACTTCGACGACTGGGAATGGTCTCTTGACTACGATGTAAGCGAGAGCTTTCGCAATCAGAGCACAGGTCTCAGTTTGTTTTCGGTAGATTCCTTGGAGCTGGATGCGCTGCTCATGACGGTCCGAGCGAGACGTCCAGCAGAGATACTTGGAGCTGATGGAACACGAAGACGTGGAGTTTTATCATGATGTGGGAAGCATCTTGGCTGGCGAGTCTTTGGAGTTCACAAAGGCCGCAGAAGAAGAGTCAGGAATCCTCAAGTGACGACGACGCTACTACTGTACGTGAAGTTCACAGCGGCGAGGGCCTGTCCAGTGTTGGTGACGAGCTTCCGGAGCTTGAGAACGTCGACGACTTACAGACGTATTCTCCTCGCTTGCTGGTCAGTAGCGACCTTCTACCGCGGTCGACGACGCCAGCCTCCCAGGTCTCCTTGGCAGTGGCCATCGTCCTCGTGGCTTCTCACGGCTTCTTCCGTGTCACTCGCCATCGCCAGCGATCGCGCATCGGCAGCGTGAGGATTTCTAGAACACAGCCACTGCCGGTGCGAAGTCCGCGTCCAACAGCAGCGATTTCTCCCACGACTAGAGCAGCAAAAGCACAGTGACGCTGATCGATGGCGAGCAGCATGGAGCCCGAGGAGAAAAGCTCCTCCGCGTACGGTAGCTTCACGGCTTTGGTCGTCAAAGAGGTATGCTCCTCATCTCTTACGAGCCTTTCGAGCGTCCTCTTGTTTGATGGAACTGCTGATGGATTGGACTGGTGGTTTCTTTGCCAGGGATCAAACAAAGAGCTCGCCACGCTCACTCCAGTTTGACGCTCCAGCCGCATTCGAGACCAGCTGAGCTTCAAGTCGAGATCGCCTCCTCCGTGTGGCGAATCCTCTTGTCACCGGCTTAGGAATCAAAGGTATGTATTTGTTTTTGCTTCTCTTCTCTTGGCGTATTAAATACGGTAACAACCATTCTTCCAAGAGATTCTTTCTCACGAAAGACGCACCTGTTGACAAAAAACACTAAACGTGGGATGGGATTTGTTTGGTGAGGAGGTCCAAATCTGGCAACTGGCATGGGCATTTGACAACGTGTGGGAAGCTTTTGACCCAAAGATAGCGATGATACGCGCGCGCACGATCTGTTCGTTCCCTCGCATTATATGATATCTTTCGATTGATCGATCGTCAACTCGATTTGCAAAGATTAGAAAACATTGGTCGCCAGATACCCAATCTCAACTTTGGAGTGTAAGAGATTCGAGTTGGAATGATCTAGTTGGGCGCATTAGTGTATTGTATCGCAAATAATCTCCAAAGTTGATAAGCAACAGTGAGTGATCTATTTGCATTCAAAGTTTATAAGCCCTAAATCTCCAAAGGCAAAAAACTAGTGATCAAATCCCACAAACAATATCTGCAAATCCCGGATCCAACGGCGCGCATGCGTCACATCGAACGGTTTCGGCATCGAGGCCGCACGAATTTACGGAGTTTTCCCGCCAGAGGACACGTGGCGCACTTTTCGGCTATATTTATAGGGCGGTCTTTCTTTCGAAAGGAAGAAGAAGGAGAAGACGAAGGCGCTAGGTTTTTGCGCGATCTCTAGTTCTTCCCCGGCTGTGACTTTGATGATCGGTCACAATGCCAAGGTATTGTAGCTGCGGGTTTCTGCGATTCTTCTTCGTCCAGCGATCTAGTAGATTTCTTTCCCTTCACGGCGCGATTCGGTCACAGGGCTTAGGCGGCGAGCTGAGAGGGGGTCTGTGAAGGAAATATCGCCGATCCAGGGATATCCTGCGGGGAATTCACGGAATTTGGCAAGATTTCGATCGAGATGCTGTCGAGGAGCGATAGCCATGGCTCCGATCTCGTGCCGGGCTACGAATCCGACGATTTCAACGCGCTCAAGAGGCTTGGGTATGGCGACATGGGGACGGTGTTTCTGGCGACGCTGAGAAACACGGGACAGCCCTTGGCGATGAAAGTGATGAACAAGGAGGTGGTGAAGGCCCGGCACAACCAGTACCGAGTGGAGAGGGAGCTGGAGATACTCTCGATGCTCTCTCATTCTTTCACGCCCAAGCTTTTCAGCCATTTCGAGTCCAAGAAGAACATCTACTTCGTCATGGATTACTGCCCCGGGGGTGACATGAACAGGCTCCGGCAGCGCCAGCCCGAGAAACGATTCTCGGAGAATGCCGCTCGGTAAGCGAAAGCTCTCATCCGAGAAGTTGTGGTTTTCTTACTTTGCCTTTCCTTTTCCCTTCCAGATTCTATGCCGCGGAGGTTTGCCTAGCGATCGAGTATCTCCACAAGTCCGGGATCATATACAGGGATCTCAAGCCCGAGAACGTTCTCATCCAGGAAGATGGTCACATAATGCTTACGGATTTCGATCTGTCCGTGAGGATCGAGCAGGACCGTGACCACCACCATCATCCTGGAGCTCCAGCTCCAGCTCCAGCTCCGCAGCCCAAGCAAAACAAGATGAAGAAACTTCCATTCATGTGCTCAACGCCCCTGTCAGTGGATGTCGGATGCGCTGCTCGCAAGGCGGTGGACGTTAAGCCGTCTCATCGCCCAACAAAGAAAATCTTTCCCTCGGAGATGAGAGGAAGGAAAGGAGCAGCCGCAGCGGCGGCAGCCGCCAAGGAAATCAAGTCGCAGTCCTTTGTGGGAACCGAGGAGTACGTCGCCCCGGAGATGATCCTGGGATCCGGGCACGGCAAGCCGCTCGACTGGTGGACACTTGGAGTCTTCCTCTACGAGATGATCTACGGGGTGACGCCGTTCAAGGGGAGGAACCGGAGGGAGACGTTTCTAAACATCCTGAGCTCGCAGCCGGCATTTCCTGGGGACTGGACAGAGGCGAGCGACTTGATCTCCAAGCTCCTGGCGAAAGACCCGACCAAGAGGCTGGGGTGCCAAGGTGGCGCCGAGGAGATCAAGTCACACGCTTTCTTCCGGGGCGTGGACTGGGAGGCGATCCAACACGTCGCCCGTCCGCCGTGGGTTCCGGAGCCTCTGGCGATTGATGAGGAGAGGATGGAGGTGGTGACAGTGGACGAGCTGCTCAAGCAAACGATGCCGGCAACCACGATCCAGTCCACCCCGGCCACCACCATGAGTTGGAGCTCCTCCAAGGTGAGCTCGTCCTCGATGAGGAAAGAGGAGGAGGAGGAGATTGACAGCCGGCGTAGCTCCTCGTCGACGATCTCGTACGAGTTCTCGGATAATCGCGAGCGGGATTGTTTTGGCGAGTTTTGATGGAGGATCTGGGAGTGACAAGGTGGGGTCGCTCGCTCGCTGATCGACTTCTCCCAAGTTTCTCTTTCGTGTACAGCAGCTTATAGGTGGAGGTAATCAACACAGGAACAACGACAAGGCAACGACAGGGCAGCGGAGAAAGAAGATCAAAACGCAAGGGAGGGGGGAAAAAGTAAATATCGATCGATCGATTCTTAGTTTTGTTCTTTTTTTTCCTTTCGATCCTCTCGATTAGGTGGGAGATTATAACGTTGTACATGATACATCTCTTCTTTTTCGGTATCTTTATCTCCTTGATTCTCCAGGAGAAATTTTTCCCTTTTTACATGTTTAGAAAAAATGGCACAAAAATGTGGCCCTGTATTTGTTAACCTTTCATACTCTCCCATTTTGTTGGCCCTTTCCATTAGTTTGGATCGCTCAAGCTGATGTACGCGCCACTAGATCACGCAAAACTTTCCACTGGAGCTCCTTCACATATAGAGTAGAGTGGTCCTCTCCTGCCATTGTAGAAGACACACACTCACAAACAAAAAGAAGGGCTTTCTTCCCGTGTTGAAAGCCCCACAGCTTTACCTGCCAAGACTTTGCTCGCTTCGGCATCGTTTGGTGGCAGGGATAGCTCCAAGTTCGGTGCTAAGTTCTTCGCGCTAGGTGCTAAAGCGGGCAAAAACTTCCACTGAAGCTATCGACCTTTCTTTGGCGGTGGAGCCTTCGCTCATCTTGGTTGTTTTTGCTTACGAAGGGGAGAAGTTTCACCTTCTGGAAGTTTAGATTCACGATAGAGGGATCTTCCACAGACTAGCACCAGCTACGCATACTTGTGTTTCTATTCACCTCGACCGCTCACGCCGGTACGATCGATGTGATTATCTGGACCACCTCTCGTGCGAGAGATTTTTCTTTTCTTGTTTTAATCGCCAGGGCCAATCGTGCCAGCAGCCGATCTGGGAGCGGCGATAAAACTAAACAGTGTGGTGTTCGTCGACAAAGACAGCCGCGCTTTTCTCAGCGCTCATTAGCAACTTTTGCTTCTCTTTCCCAGCTACAAAATAAAGTTTGATCTCGCCGTGTCAACGTCCGGATTATGGTTGAGGATTGTCACGCGAGAGGCTTTTTATGGCTCTGATCCGATTGTGTTTTGTCGAGCTCGCGAGCACGGTTCAAGGAACACAACCATTTTGTGTCTCTGAGACGAGGCGAAGAAGCGTCGAATCCTGGGGGCGTTGAGTCAATCCTACCAACAACGAGAAAACAATATGTCAAGTCACAATGGAAAGGATGGATCAGAGGTAGACTTACCTTATGCACAGTCGAACAGTCAAGTTGTAGAGCTTTGGTAGCTTTGAAGCTGTAGTGTAATAATCGTATATGATCGATGATCACCCAGCCATTGCTCCACCAATCGATCGATCGATCTGATTATATTAGGTGAGGCAAAGACAAAACGAGAACTAGAAAAAGCAACACGTTACCGCTTTTGACTCCCCGGTGTGCAAAGATTCTATCAACGCGCTCGTTCCGCGAAGTTGAGGAGTCGAAGAACAAGGAAGAAACCGATTTCTCCTCTGAGCTGGACACGAGAGCGATGAAAAGTTTGCGCCTTTATTTCTCCCCTGTTGACTCGGCTGCTTTTGAAGTACCTTTACTTTCACATATACGATCCATCGCTTCTCAACTTTCCTGTTCCACTCTACCTGTGACAACCTTGCTTTGTGATCGATGCCTTCACAGTAACCACTGCCACTTTCACATACGTGTCGCAAGCTCCCCGAGATGCCTGTGAGTCGCTTTAAGCCCCCCCCCCGCTAAAAGAGATGCTACCTCGCTTTGCCGGAGTCATGTCAGCCTCTGTGAGGAGTTGACACATTGCTGGATTCCGGCCTCGATGATATGGGAGTGGAGGTTGCGCTCGGTAAGACGAGCTGTCCGCTAGACGAGACCTCGTCGATGATATCTTCTACACAAACAGTTGACATGTATTCTTGGACGTCTTCGTTGCCACTTTGCAGCTCCTCGACGCTCTCCGGATTGCTACAAATCTCTGCCTCGATACCAGCCTTGTCGTACACCCATAAGTCGTCGCTCTTGGTTGTTTTCAGCTTGGGACTGATGGAGCTTAGTGGGCCGAGCTTGCGTTGCAGGAGCAAAACTTTGTACCAGTATTTCGCAGCCGCCTCCAAAAGCAAACCGAACTCTACCTCCAGCAGCGATGGAGAAAAGGTGCTGCTTCTCTCCACCGTCTTCTGATGTTCCTGATTTAATGGATCTACAATCTTGTCCAAGAGCTCTACTTTTCCCTCGCTGGCCAGACTCGACGGTCGAAGTAATAAATGTGCCAAGCCGCTAAACAATCTGCGTCGCATGTCTTTTTCTGCCGGAACAACCTGTCATAGATAGTTGTTGCGCAGTTGCGACGGAGTAAAGGGAAATAGTACCTGAAGCATCCAGCAAGCCAACAGCCTGATTGTGTAAAAGCAACACTTGCCACCTTTCTTTAGCTCGTAATTTGCAGCTCGAATCTCGCCACGACTTAACGCTTTGCTTAAAGCTGCATCGGGGATTATGGGATCCTGCCAGAAACGATGGTCTGAGCGCTACTAGGAACAAGAAGTTGCTCAGACCTTAAGAAGGTAAAACCAATCTAGAAACAGCTGCACAAGTATTCGAACATCGAGGCTACAAAGTACCTCCCAATTGCCCGTGTTTAGCTTTTTCTGCATGATTATGGACGGCAAATAGTATACATCCACAAAAAGTTATTGATACCTTCGCCGTTTGTACGTCTGAGATGAAGTTTTGATCTTTTTCGCTTGTCATCTCAAGTGCCAATCCTTGCAAAAGAGCAGAAGCGACTGCTTCTTTGTTGATTTTGCTCAAAACAATACGGCTTGAAAGCTCCCGAACCAAACACACCAAAACCTGTACCAAGAAAGTCCTCAACAAAAGCGCTAGACGTCTGTTACCTTTGGAGTATATCGGAGAAGGCGACTTTCTTCCCCATGAAGCATTTGTCTTTGCCTTGCCATCAAAATTTCTAGCGTCGGATGCGTTCCTTTGGTACCGGCATTGTCCAGAGTTTGCCAAGGCTGCACGTACACAATCTTCAATCCTGATAGAAAGTCCTCAAACTCTTTCACGTGCAGCACTTGTTGTTTTGTTTGAAGAGCTCCTGGTCTGTAAAATGCATGTAAGTTCACGGCTCAGTGTGCTAAGACTTTTGATTAAATACGCACAGAAATATGTTGAATCGCTGGGGAAAATGGTGGCAAACCTATGCATGCGGACCAGCTCCACAGCCTGAGCCACAGGAAAAAGCTGCATTTAGCTCGTAAAAAGAAGATCTAACTGCAAGAGAACGTACTCCGACAGCATTCCTTTGCCCCGTGTACACCAAGTAGCAAGCAATCACAAGCCCAGTGCGTCCTGTGGCAAACGAACCGTAAGAAAGCTGCTTACAATGAGATGAAAGTAACTTACCAAGTCCGGAATGACAGTGAACAGCTACCTGCATAGAAAAACTCTTCTGAAGATCGCGAAGGTCGCAAAGATCACAAAACAAACCTTAGCTCCCTTAGAAATGTGGAAATCCATCACTGCCACAATGTTCAGAGTGTACTCGACGCTCGGGCAAGTCATGTCCCTCCATGGAAAGTTATAATAGAAGACTGCCGAATCACCGAAAAGAAGAAGAAAAAAACAATAAACACTGGAGTATAACGGGAGTTACTCTTGTTTCTCATGAGACTTTCTGGTGTGTATGAAAATCCACTCTCGACTTTGATTCCTGGTCCACAATCTCCATGCTCGCCAGGCTCTTGGAGATTGAAAATCGCACCTAAACCGCATTTTGCAAACTGTCCATGCAACAACAGTAGTAGCATTTACTCTGAGATTCACGTTCTTACCTGTTCTAGCACGGAATAATCACCGATGAGAGCATCCGATGGACGAGCTGTAGCTACTATGTTGTCAGTCACCCAGTTGGAATGGAGTCCCACAATCGCTGGCTGCCCCTTTTGCTGCTTGAAATCTTCGCATCGGCAGCGTTCCGAGGATCCGAGACCCTCAAACTTGCATTGTATGTGCTCCTTGATGGCAAATTTCTTCGTTCTCACCAGAAATTCCCTGCTATCCTGCAAAACCTAGAATCTGTGAAGCGCGCTTTTGCCGATCCATGCTTGGAATCACCTGGATCGCCCAGGGCGTGAGAGATCGAAGACGCCGGAGTGAGGCGCTCTTGAGTGACATGGCGGGGGCGAGCGTCGGAGCTGACCATTCGAAGCATATCGACAGCACTATCCCCATCTCTCTTCTCGCTCTAAATTCTAGGGCTCGAGGTAAGAATATCCAAAAAGCACAAATTCAAACTTAATCTCATCCAGCCGTTGGTAAGTCGGCGGCGTAGACTCGAGATAAGAATATCCAAAAAGCATAATTTTAAATTCTCTATAGTGTGTGAAGCTTTAGCCAAACCTCCACATTCTTTTTGCTTCGTCTAGCCACGCTTCATAAGCGTCTGGATTCTTGAGTACAAAGTGGATCTATAAACACCCATCCAAAACCATGAATTCCACAAAAAAAAAGCGAGAGATTGAAATCAAACAAACCTCTTGAAAACCAGCCCAGTTCTTCCTCAAAGCCGTAAGACCAACCTCAGCTCCCTCGTCGTGGGGATACCTGGTGAATGCAAGCTCTTGAGCTTTTGTAGTTTTTCTATGAAACATACCCGTAGAGCTCGCAAGACAAAGCTGGAAATGCGATGTACTTAATGCCATTAGAAGTTGCCAGATTCAAAGCAGCACTGAGAAAAAAAAGAACGAAGAAGTTTAGAGAATGCCAAAATCCAGCTCCAGATCATCATAGTAGAAACTTACACATAGGCCTTGGTTAGCATTTTCTCGGACTCGTCTCGATTTTTCTCCTCGTAAACAGGACCAACAGCGTGGATCACACGAGACGCCTGGAGATTAAAACCCCTGCAAGAAAGGAAGAATGAAGTGGACAAGACTCTAAGATCAAAAAGAGAGAGCTTTACCTTGTGATCACAGCCTGACCGACCTCGCACTTGATCCCTTGAGGTGCTACGTCGGGCAACTTCTGGCAAGTATCAAGCAACCTCGGACCCGCAAAGCGATGGATAGCTGCCATTTAGAAACTTTTAGCTCGATGTTTTCCTGGCTTTTAAAGCGCATCAAAGCTTACTTCCATCGACACCATATCCGGCATTGCATCTTTTGTTCGCAGGAGCCACCTAGGAAAACGAAGAAGAAAAAATAACGAACATGAACTTCAGACTTCTTCGAGAGAAAAAAGAGCGAGAAAAGAAAAGCCTAGACGCGAAAGCTTTGCTTACCACAGCATCGTTTTGTCCATCGATATACCACAGTCCCAAGTCGCCCTTCCAAATCACCATGGTGCACGTATCCGAGAGCTTATACTTGACCGCCCCAGTGAGGGGCTCTGGCGGGGGTGGCGGCGGAGGAACGGGCTTCTCTCCACTGGGACGATCGAAGTTTGGTCTCCTGCGAGGCCGATCCATTCCCGCCGAGCGAGGCCCGCCCATGGCGCAATTGATGTGAAGCGATGGCTGCGTGTGGATGCTGTTCTTCCTGCGAATGCTCGACCCAACGAGCTGGGTGTGTTGCGTTAGCGATGATAGACCTGGCGGCGATTTCACCGCGCCCAAGAACTGCGAAGCTTGGACCACTCCCACGGCCCCCATCTTCCCTGCGATTGTTTCACACAAGAATGCGGCCATTGTGAGTGCCGGAAGAAATCCTAGAAAGGAACAGGGCGAGAAGAATGCGAGATTTCCAGCCAAAACCCAAAACCCTGGGAGATTTCCGGCCCGGATGAAAGCGCGCTAACGAATCTACATCCAAGCGCAGAAGAAATGACTGACCTCCAACGCCTCGCGCGCCTGCGCCTTTGCGCTGCCCTAGCGCTTTGCGTCCTCGAGCTCTCTTTCAAATATCCTGCTTCATCTGGATATTCCGCCGTATAACAACTAGGCAATGGCATCCGATGGATACAAAGTAGAGAGCGAGCCACAGCCGTTGGATCGGCACACATTTTCCAGATTGAAATTTAACGTAGTTTCTAGCTACAGACTGTGTTAAGAGGAATAGAGCTCTCGCAACTTTGCTGCTACTGCATCAGTGCCTGTGGCTGGTGTCTAAACATCCTCTTGGCCTCGTCGATCCAGGAATCGTATCCATCCTGTGCCTTGATAATGAAATGGACCTGGAGAGAACAAAAAGAAAAGAAAAATGAAAAAAGGTTCTAGCTCAAACTTCATATACCTCAGACAATCCATGGTGGTTTTTTATCACAGCGTTCAATGCAACTTCGGCTCCCTCGTCGTAAGGATATCTGGAAAAAAAGACGATTTTTTGGACTCGAAACTCTTAGAAAGACGAGAATTACCCGTAGAGTTCACAGGAGAGCGCAGGGAACGCCATGAATCTGATGCTTTCCTTGAGAGCTAACGCGATAGCACTCCTATAACCACCGAGAGATTAAAAACATTTTTTTTCTGATCAAAGAGCCTTACTTGTATGCATTGGTGAGGTTTCTCTCCGACTCGTCTCGGTTCTTGTCCTCGTAGACGGGACCAATCGCGTGAATCACACGAGAAGCAGGAAGATTGAATCCCCTGGCAACCACGAAACAAACATAAGACAACGAATCCCGAGAGAAGGCCTTGCTACACCCACCTTGTGATCACAGCATTCCCAACCTCGCATTTGATGCCTTGCGGTGCTACGTCCGGGAGCTTCTGGCAAGCATCCAGAAGACGTGGTCCTCCTCCACGGTGAATAGCTAGAACAACAACAAAAGAAAAGAGCTTCCTTAGAATGGTGAAAAACCGATCAAAACTCACCTCCATCGACTCCAAATCCGGCATTGCATCGCTTGTTCGCAGGAGCAACCTGGAAAACAAAAGAAGACATAAGAACCATCACGAAAACGAGACAAGAAAAAAAAAAGCCTTACAATGCAATCGTTTTGTCCATCGACGTGCCACAAGGCAATGTCGCCCTTCCAGATCGCCATGACGCAGTTCTCCGAGATCCTGTACTTGACCTGGCCGCTCAGAGGCTCTGGCGGCGGCGGCGGCGGTGGAGTCGGGGGAGTATCCCCCGGCCTATCGAAATTTGGGCGACGGCGGGGCCTATCCATAGATCGCGGCCCACCCATTGCGCAGCTGATCCTCGTCGGCTGCGCTACCTCCACCGTCGGCGTCGTGTGAATGCCCGACGCTCGCTTGTAGAGCGATGCAAGGCCGGCATTCCTCTCCAACAGCTGCGACGCCTGCGCCAAGCGAGGGAAGACCTTGCATTTCACGACCCCGGCCTGCATCGCCGCTGAAACTCGAGATGGAGCGCCCCCGATAAGAAAGAATCGATCGCCAAAACCCTTCCCCTCAAACACCCTAAACCCCTAGAGATATTTATCTGCACCTTCTGGATCCTGGCCGTCCATCGCTTGGACATTCTCAATTTCAAAAATCTTGGCCGCACGTTAAAACCCTATTGCATCATGTAGGAAATTCATCGTAGCCGTCGGATATTTAGCGAACCATCTTAGGGTTTAGGACATTTTCCTTTTAAATATGTCACCCTTCACTACACACACCACTTGAATCATAGTCCTCGGGTCTAGATTATGGACAAGAAGCATGCCAACCTGTTACATGGATTTATGTTCTAAACTCGAGCAGTAGCTTGTTATTTGGGATAAAAGGAGATCTTTTAGTCTGGAATTGGGCTGGAATCCTCTCATTGCAGAGTCTAAGATTCTCCCAGCACTTTGTTGGGAGAGAACACTGCAATGGGGATGGACTTGTCTAAAAAGCGACTGGATCGGTATAATATTGGAGCCCGATAATTTGTGGAATAAGGTTACATTGCCTCTTATCACTATGGTGTAGTTATCAAGGATAACAATATGTATACTTGCAAGGGAATCTGGAGAGTTATAAATTATACCCGGTGTTGGGAGATTATCCTTACTTGTTCTAACCATCCTAAATTTGATGGTAATGGGCGAGTTCGTCATGGAGCTTCGATCCTTTGTGGCGACAGCAAAATCCTTGTTTGTAACAACTGCAAGCTATTCGAATTGAGGATGGATCCTACTAAAGGATTTGTGAAGGAAACTATCCTCAAGTGGCATGTCGTAGTCCAGAGGCGCAAGCTTCACGGCCTCCCGGTGTCTTGATCCTGGTACATTATAGAGAAAGCACTGACCACAAAATGTTGGCTTGTTATGACAAACAAACGAAGAAAAAGTATTGACAGTTCTGGAAAGTTAACTTCGCCTAAAAATGTTGATCTATATGTGCTAGTGAATCATGGAGAGACTATATTGATTATGTTGCCATCCAAGTTCCAGCTCTTGACGGAACTGCTGTTGATATATCAGCTCCACGGATCGACCAAGCACGAGAGCAAGCGATGCTTGGAGTCGACAAAAACGGCCAGGGAGCCCGTGACTCCCAGGCACCGGATCTCCGGCAGTACTAAATGTTGGCACGCTTGTTCACAAACATTGTGAGAAAGAATGGAAAGAAAAGCTTTGAGAACTGAAGTAGCTCACACCATTTCCAGCATCCAAGTCTGGGCTTCTCCTCCAGAGATAATCGCCGGCAAAGATTAGCCATGGCCAATCACTCAAGCAAAATAAAAAAGGGTTTTTTACCTGTGGCTTTGCCGATTGCGGCAACAAGAAACAAGAAGGTCGAATGTTGGGCCTGGATCGTCTGAGGCTGCTGACAATGGAGCTCCGGAGGCAGCAACACATGCGCGATCGACTTCCCCGGGATATGGATGGCGTCGGCACTGTCTCGGATGCGAACGTCGCGATGCCACTCGCTCACCGTATTCCATGAGCGGGAGCGCGCAAGATGACGAGATGATACCACTCAACATCCTTGCTGGGATGCACGACTTGGCAGGCTTGGACGCCACCGCCGTCATACTCTGCTGGAAGCTCCAAAACGGAAGCTTGATGCTGCTGCTCCGGATCAAGGTTGTAGCAGAGAAGGGAGTGACGATCTCCCGCCTCGCCTTGGACAGTGTTGCAGTAGAGAACCAGCAGCCCACGAGGAGGCACGGCCAGGAGGCGCCTCTGCGACGAGCTGTGATCATCCCTCTCATCGAGTTGGAGTCGGAGCCGCTTCCACCTGGGCGGGAGATCTACCTCGAATCCAAAGTTGTGCAAGACGAGGTTTTGATTCGGGAGCAGCAGCGCACACTTGTCTTGCTTCAAGGGCTGCAACAGAATGGCGGCGGTGAGCTCCCAGCATACTTGCATTCGAACGGGTACGATTAATAAAAAACGCCGTTTAAAACGCGTGTATAATACGGCGTTTAAAACGGCGTTTAAACACCAAGAATATTTTTAAAAACCCTAAAGAATATGCTTTCTTTTACTTAGGATTAGGGTTCATGTAAAATCAGGGTTCGAAAAAAACTGAAAACCATTATACCCGTTGTAGCGGCCAATAACGAGCCCGTAGAACAAAGTGAGGCGGGACACGTGGATGATGACATGGAGAGAGATGACTTGGCAGGGGATCCGACGTGGCGGGGAGGAGACCGGTTTGTTACAGAGGATCGGGCGGCGCATCGGGGGGGACTTCTTGGGAGGGGCGGCGATAAGGAGGCGTGGCAGGAGCCAGGGCAGGTCATCTCAGGAGCAAACCCAAGGCGCTGGCAAGCAGGGGTGATCAAGATCCGACCAAGGTGAGGGCTTTGACCAGGTGTGGACTCCAGTAAGCCTCGCCCGGGCTTACGCCCATTTTAGAACCGCTACACCGTTCGAAAAAAAGCTAAACTGGTATTAAACGTTCGATACCCGTTCGAATCCGGTTGCGTTCGAATGTTCGGATGCAAGTATGGGGAGTGGTTTCTCAATCTAGATATGTTCACCTTATAATCCCACACATTAGGATTAACATTGCTACTCATGGGCTTTTGTGTGCCCATCACTAGCTTAGCCAAAATCTATTTTGGCTTTATTCAATTTTGGATGGATAGACTTCTCCCGTCTTTAAATTTCTACAACTATAGACATTGAATAGCATTTTATATCCATTATTCTTTAGAGACTTAATCTTTAGGGTGTTATCTAATTGTGAGACACAAAATCCCTAGGCCCCAAAGTGGAGCTGGAAATGGTGCCACGTGGTAGTGGCCGAAGTGAAAGCCAAACGAGCGTAACACGTTTGGACTAAAAGCTCCGACTTGAAAGGTCGAGAGTGGGAGTGGAACTCCCAACAAAGTGCTCGAGGAACAAGCACGAAGCGAACAATAAGCGAGGCTCCAAAAAGGGACCCAAAAAGGACCAACACATGACACGTGGAAGTGTCCGAGATGGAGTCTGAGACGGACCCTAGTTGGAGTCCGAGATGGACCCGAAGTGGAGTCCGATATGGAGTCCAAAGTGGAGACTGAGATGGAGTCTAATATGGAGTCCGAGATGGACCCGAAGTGGAGTCCGAGGTGGACCGAGACGGAGTCCGAGATGGACCCGAGATGGAGTCCGAGATGGAGTCCGAGATGGACCCAAGATGGAGTCCGAGATGGAGTCTGAGGTGGATAGAGACAGAGTCCGAGATGGACCCGAGATGGAGTCCGAGGTGGACCGAGACGGAGTCCGAGATGGACCCGAGATGGAGTCCGAGATGGACCGAGACGGAGTCCGAGATGGAGTCCGAGATGGACCGAGACGGAGCCCGAGATGGAGTCCGAGATGGAGTCCGAGAAGGACCTGAGATGGAGTCTGAGGTTGAGACCGAGACCGGGACCGAGACCGAGACCGAGACCGAGACCGGGACGGAGACCGGGACTGAGGCCAAGGCTGAGACCGAGCCCGAGCCCGAGTCCAAGTCCGAGTCTGAGTCTGAGTCCGAGTCCGAGTCTGAGAGGGTGAAAGCCCAAAGCGTTCGTCTCCTAGACCCTGGGGGGTTTGGTGAGCTCCAAAAGTATAGTAAGGGGGAGGATTGCAATGGAGCCAGTTTGGCCAAGAAAGGCCAGTTTGGCCCAGGAAGGCCAGACCCAGTGTTGGGTGATGAACTGACCACTGGGAAGTCCAAGACTAGAGTGAACACGGACCGACAAGCGGGGTAGCTTGGTGAAGTGTTCAAGAGCCGGCTCTAGTTCCCCCGGGAGATCGACTGGCCGATGCTCCCAGTCCAAGTATGGGTGGCACTACCTACTTGGATACATGGCGTGGCTCAATGGAACCTCGCTCTAAGCCCATGGCTAGAGCACCTAAAGGCGAAAGGTGGGGAGAGTACCCACGGGGCTCGCGTAGGCCCATGGTGTTCCAAAATGTTGTCCTGGAGTCCTAAATGGGGGAAAGGAGGAAGAGCAGTCCTCTAGTGTAGTGACTAAGGATATAGTCACATGGTGAGGAAGTCCCAGAGGACCATAGGACTTAGTGGTCGGGCCTGTGAGCCTTGATCGAGTGGCAGTGTTGGCAAACATGGCCATGGACGGAAAAGGGACTTGGTAGGAACTGACAAAGGGACTTTGGGGAAGGCTATTCCCCAAGTCTGTGGGCACCCTAAGGATGCTAAGGAGTGGATCTAGGATGACCACTCGTGGACGGATGGCCCAGTCTTGGAGAGATGGGATTGTGATGCAAGTGGTATTGGACCACTAATGCAGCAAAGGTGAATGGGCATGGCCTTAGCGTAACGGGCCAATATGTCAATGGTACCTTTGGGTGTCGGTCTTGGGACCGGACACGTGGAGCACTTAGACCAGGTGCAAGTGTTGAGTGGCATGGATGCCATTCTTGGGGCTAGCAAGCCCCAAGTCCTGAATTGGACTTATGGAGGTTATGAATGAGACTCCTCCAAGCGGTCGAAGGTGTGGTTAAGTGACTAAAGTAGAATGGAAAAATTAGTCGCTTACAACTTGGTATCGGAGCTGTTCCTTAGTCTGACTTTTATTGGTGCTCGAGTATATCACCATTGATATTGGCATCGGAAGGTCCTAGGAGTGGGCCTATCCTTGAGGAGTAGGACGTCGAGAGGACATGGCTCTCCACTCGAGTTCATGCATGAACTTGGGCGCGATGTGGTGGATAGAAAAGGGGCCAGTAAGGGAACGACTTTGGGATGTTGGGGACAGTATATGGTTATCCTCATATAGTTGAGGTTAGTGCTCATGAATGTGAGACTTGAAGTGATGACCATGGGAGGTCAAATACGGAAGAGGACTCAAGTCTTTGAAATGGTAGCCAGGGCTACCTTTAATAAATGCTGGAACAACCCAAGGAGTTGGGGGGTGTACTTAGAGATGAGTTGGTATTCTCATCACATGGACAAGTAGTCCTAAGGGGCAAAGGTTGCCCCAGAGAACAAAATCAAGTGTCAGAGTAACACTTGTGAAAATAGTCCTTGTGAGTAGGACGTGAATGCAAGAAGTG